ACTGCATGGAGTACAGGGGACATACTCTACAGCAGCATCCTGAAGGGGGACAAACATGCACTGCATGGAGTACAGGGGGCATACTCTGCAGCAGCATCCTGAAGGGGGACAAACATGCACCGCATGGAGTACAGGGGACATACTCTGCAGCAGCATCCTGAAGGGGGACAAACATGCACCGCATAGAGTACATGGGACATACTCTGCAGCAGGGACCTGTAGGGGGACAAACATGCACTGCATGGAGTACAGGGGACATACTCTGCAGCAGCATCCTGAAGGGGGACAAACATGCACTGCATGGAGTACAGGTGACATACTCTGCAGCAGCATCCTGTAGGGGGGCAAACATGCACCGCATGGAGTACAGGGGACATACTCTGCAGCAGGAACCTGTAGGGGAACAAACATGCACTGCATGGAGTACATGGGACATACTCTACAGCAGCATCCTGAAGGGGGACAAACATGCACTGCATGGAGTACATGGGACATACTCTGCAGCAGCATACTGAAGCAGGACAAACATGCACCGCATGGAGTACAGGGGACATACTCTGCAGCAGCATCCTGAAGGGGGACAAACATGCACCGCATGGAGTACATGGGACATACTCTGCAGCAGCATCCTGAAGGGGGACAAACATGCACTGCATGGAGTACATGGGACATACTGTACAGCACCACCCTGAAGGGGGACTAACGGAATCACTGAACATTTATATTATTTATAAAAAAGATTTCAGTGATAATGACGCTATTGACGCATGGCTTCTGTGTGGCAACTTGACATGGTCATGCTATGATTTTCTAATGACAAAAAAGCAAAATATAGTTCAAGGCACATTTATTGGAATATAACGTTTTGAGCAAATCACACCTGAATGTTTCTCCTGTTACCACGGAAATATATGATATATGTTTCAGTCGATATTGTAAAAAACCTTCAATGAACACTTCTAATCTTTTCGCCCATTTTCTTTCCTTATACGTATCTATATCTATCTATCTATATACCGATCTCCTCCAGTAACTGGACATGCATGTCAGTGTTAATCAGACAGGACTCATCAGTACAAACATATTTACACACCATTTGTAATTATGATTATATATATATATAATGACATTTTCCATGCCAAATGATATCTACAATGCAACAAGCTTAACCCTGCCCTTATGGAATTTCTGTTTCTCTGTATCAGTTTTGTTGACAATGTGTGGCTGAGTGGGCTCAACTAGGAAAACACAGAGTTTGCGATCGTCACAGGGAAGTAATTATGGAATAGGAAGGCTTGGTTCATGTTGTACAGTGATAGAAACGGGTTTTTTTTAAGTGTGCCCAGGGCAATCATGAAGATGTTTAAGTGTGCTCCCTTTAATTAAAGTGTGCAAACTAGCAGAATAGTTTTTATCTCAGCGAAACTAAGTTTATAAGTTTTACCCAATCCCTTACATTAAGATTAACATTGCCCTTTATCATTTCCGAATACCCAAACAGTTGGTTGGTTTGTTGTTTAACGCCGCACTCAGCAATATTCCAGCTATATGACGGCGGTCTGTAAATAATCGAGTCTGGCCCAGACAATCCAGTGATTGATATCATGAGCATCAATCCACGCATTTGGGATCGATGACATGCATCAACCAAGTCAGCGAGCCTGACCACCCGATCCCGTTAGTCGCCTTTTACGACAAGCATTGTCGCCTTTGACGGCAGGCATGGGTTGCTGTAGACCTATTCTACCCCGGAATCTTCACGGGTCGAATACCCAAATATATGTAGTAGTTCTACCCAAATATATGTAGTGGTTCTTCTGTGCAGTTAGTGCATTCATACGTTCATCATGTCCCGCATGTTTGTCATGTTTCTCTTTGGATTCAAAGGACAAAAGAAGTCTCAAGGTATTGTAAAAAATAGGATTTCCAAGCGTGCACCGGGAACGTCATTTTAATAGTGCCACTGACACAAAATAACAAGGAATTACGAACCCTGTGTAGATGTTGAAAATAAATGTACAAATTGTGAAAAAAAAAATATTGCAGAAAGAGGAATTTTTTTATGGGGCCATAAAACATAAACAATCCAGTGATTCCACTGTTTGCTCCTCAGACTCTTGTTTGTTAAAATTTGTTTACCAAAGGAATTTCATTTCAGGACATTGTAACCTCATTGTGTGACATTAATTACGTCCAAAGTCATGTTTCTGCACGTTGGAAAGTGGGGGCTTATTTGTAAATATGCACATAGTATCCATTTGTTCAAAATACGCGCACTGAGTTTGAGAAAAGAACCTAAAGAAATAACTATGATTTCTGCTTAATCTACAAGACTTAATCCAAATGTTTAATACTAAGTCTTGTAAAGAAAATTTCCTATGTAAAAAACTTTGGTTCTGTTAGAAATAGAAATAAGATTTCAAAACAATATTTTTTAAAGTTGTAATAATGCCAAGACTAAGATTCCCGTGATAATGGCTTTTGTGTATCTCGATGGTGATTCTATGACGAAGACAAATCAGAATATTACAAGGGTAATTTTCAGAAAATGTCAAATTTGCAATTGACAAAAATGTCAAATAGTTTTATTTTCAAAGCACATTGATTGTGCATTAAATGTTCATTTGTGTCACGTGTTTGCCAAGTTTTAGTGTGCTTTCATACGACACAAATTGTCACAATGTTAAAATCCCACTTTATTAGCGTCTTCGCCTGTCAATTCAAACTTTCCGATTCAGATAAACGAGAAGACAATCGGGGAGCCACAAAGGACGCAAAAAACCCCATAATATTTGGACGTAAAGATAGTTTCAAACTGTAAAAATATTGTTTTTACAAATCTTCTTATTGGTATCAAAATACTCTATACAGATTGGACAGAAAAAAATAAAGGATATTACCCAAAGAAAAATTGAAATAAGGAATGAAAATTATTACACAGAGCTATTCAATAATACTAATTCTAGGAACAGGACATCTCTCACCCGGGCTGTCGCAGCACTGCTCTGTTCTGGCCTCAGTTTCACAAAGCGACCTAAGACGATCGTAACTCCCATACTTTAAGGTAGACTTACGACAGTCGTTAATCTGTAGCTTTTTCATACATGTTCAGTAAGGTCTTATTTTAAAGTTAATGTCATATTTGTATTCATTGGACACAATACGTATTGATTTACACATTCAATTAAAACATCATTGAAAGGAGAAAACTAACTAGTTGGCCCACGCATCTTTCAATAAGACAACTTAACTTACTAATGAATTTACTAATTGTGATTAGTAATTATATCAGCGCGCAAAAAACTTTGAAGCTGTGGCCTGACTAATCTGTAGATTATAGGAATTATATACACTACACTTGAAGATCCGGGATAGAATAGGTCTTCAGCAACCCAGGCTTGCCGTAAAAGGCGACTATGCTTGTCGTAAAGAGGCGACTAACGGGATCGAGTGGTCAGGCTCGCTGACTTGGTTGATGCTTGTCATCGTATCCCAAATGCGGATAGATCGATGCTCATGATGTCAATCCCATGACTGTCTGGTCAAGACTCGATTACTTACAGACCGCCGTCATGTAGCTGGAATATTGCTGAATGTGGCGTTAAATAAAAAACAACAAACAAAAAGTATATACCATTTAGGATATAGTGGCTTAAAATTAGTGTTTCGATATTATCTTCATAATGATGAGTCGATGCCGCAATTTGCCAAAATAATGCTTAAAGCGATGTAAGATATCTAGTCTCTAAAATGAACATATCATACAGAAATAACAAAATAACAGTTGTTAAATTAAAGTTAAATATATTAAAAAGGAGCCCAGATACTTTCTTCCTGATACTGCAGTAATCTAGACTTGCCAAACATTATAGACTTGGTAAGTCATGTGTCACTGTGTAGGGGTTGGGGGTGATTGAGGAGGAGGGGACGAGTGTCGAGGTAAGATGAATGCATATGCTTTTTACATACCTGTAAGAAAATTGATTGTAGTTTGGATATGGAACATGGCTATTTTGTACGTATTATTTTGTATATATACATCTTAAAACCTTTTTTATTTCGTTATATATTTTCATGAACATGAACAAGCTAGCCCAGTTACCCTTGTTCTTGGGTCATCGGTGCAGGATAGGTTTATATTCGCTGGAATATTGCTGAGTGCCGCGTTAAACAACGATCAATCAATCATTGGTCGGTCGTTATTATATGACCGAAACAATGTTACGTTAAATCTTCACTCACTGCCTCGTTATTGGGCTCTTGGGACCGGCGTTGAGTACAGACCTACGGGAAGGCCAACATGAAAAAAACTTTTGTTTTTTTGTGAACACGATTGTTATTCAACGCCACAGTCAGTAATACCACGGACTTGTTATATAGGTCCGTGGTAATATTGAGGATGTGTGAAATCGACATTTGAATGCGGCAATCAGGACAAGAAAATAGCATTGGCTGCTGTTATGAGCAAGGTGGCGCGCCATCGGGGTACCACGACCTTCGTTCTGTCGCCGACCCATTCGTCACAACTCGCCCCTTTCGCTATTCGGCTTGTCCCGGAATAACACGAGTTGGTCACGAATGTCGCCGACCCTGACCACCCGATATCGGTCAAGTTCAGTATCACTGCATGAGAGTCATTGACGTTTGAATACTGTAGTCACCGGATTTCCTGAATGTTCTCATTGAGTGAATGGATGGTGTCCCGGGAACATAACCATATATTACTAAAGCTGCATAAAGCTGCCGTCATATAGCTGAACTATTGATATAAAATAAAAGCAAACGCTGAAATGCTTCTTTTGTCTCGTATTATTTTCTCGTTTGAACAGAAACAATGTTTATTTTATCAAGTTACTTCACACAACAATAAGAGCTCAGCAATGGACTTAAATAGAAGCTACAGTTAAAAATATCTTTCGGATTTTAGTGGTATGCATTGTCAGCGGTCATTTGATTATCGCCCTTTGAAACTATTCGTGATTTTCCGGTACCTTTCGGCAATATCCGTACGAACGCTAGACAAAATGGCGAACAAATTACCATGGGGCCTGAAAGGGAGCCGTTTAGCCCCTGGTTCTGCAAAGGTATGAGTAATTACACAATTTCACATTGTTTTCAAGGAAGATGATAGCTTGTTCCTTCAATGTGATGATGGTTGAACTGCAATTATACCGCAGTTTCACGTGTCAAGAGATAACATGATATGGCCTACACTGGGTCACGTTGTTTACTGACACTCATATCGTGGTGACCCAGTATTTTCTCTAGGTAGTGTTTAATCGAACATAGGTAAAGCTCATTATATTCACATTTCTAAAACAATAAGATAATAGATAATATGTTATTACAGTCAACATTTTGAGATATCTTATATTCCCAGAAGGACTTCAGTATACCTAAAAGTAAAACTTGCAATAAAATCCAGTTAGCATGTGCTATTTACAAACGAAATTTAGGTGAGTAGGCTAGGTGTGTTAGAACTCTATGGTAGCTTAATGATATACCAAGTGCATTTTATAAGACTGTAACTATATCAGCAAAATCAGTAAGCGTGTTACAGGATTCTGTAGGTCTTGATTTGCTGGGAAATGGGGAGCACCTTTGGAATACAGTATCACAACTTCTCGTGAGGACGATCTCTGCCGTAGGTCACATGTCTCAAAGACAAGCAATCAGTTTTTGTGAGAATCCGTCGGACGCGCACTCGCGACCTTTGGATTGTTAGCCCGACAGCTAACCGACTGAACAACGTCCACACTGTGGAACAAAGTGCAAATTTACCTTGTCATGCCTACGACGTTACGGAACTGAACGAAAAGGGTAGAATAGGTGACAGACACTTACGAAGATTACGGGTAGCCATGGTGTCTCTTGACTTAAGTCTACGGACACTTAAGAATGATCCCGATGCCATTTGGCACACTCGTCCCATTCCGTAATTTACAAGATACCGAGTGGTGAGGAATGAGCGAAAGGCGCGACCTGAATACGGCTCCAGGCGTCAGACGTCGAACTCGCGGAGACGCATGGTATTTAATAATTCGACAGCTGGATTTTGTGGCAGAAAAGTCTGGTAGGGAACACTGTAAGGATGATGTTGATATTAGTAAGGAATGAGGGAGGCATGGGCATGGCTTGTGACGACACAACTGTGAGTTCACTTTTGAATCAGTACTGAAAAAATGTAGCCAGTTAAAGTGGCTTGTGTGAATGGTCCAGGACAGTTTCCAGTAGCTAAATTATTTGACACAAAACCATTTCATCCTTTTTACTCAACGTTTTTGTGTGAAGAATATTAGGAGCCGCTAATGATCGCAAGGGGATGATTGATCGTAAAGGGGATCCAAGGGCTAAGGATAGAGTTAGGGGTAATTTAATAGCCACTAAACCGGTACCTAACCCTAATGATCGTAAAAGGGTGATTGATTGTTATGGGATCCAAGGGCTAAGGATAGAGTTCGGAATACCTATCCCAACACTGGCAACATTTGGATGTGTTCAGCGCCAATATTTTAACATGGTCTTTCTATGTAAACTGAAAATGCATTCTCGTGCATGATAATGAAAATTAATGAACCGAAAAAATAATATATGTATATAAGTTCCCATTTGTGACAATTTTAGCAACTTGAATTATGAGAAAAACGGAAAAAAAATATATAAAAAATAAACATGATAAAAGTGCTTTCGTACACTAGCGCTTGCTATAAAATGTGCAGCCGCAGTCTATATTTGGTAAACAAATATTCAAAACTCTCAACACCGCTGGGCGTATTCAATGACTTGATGATAGATCACTGGGAGGAGCTTATGCACACTCGATGACCCCTGACGTCACAGGGCATTGTTTTGCCGGTGTGACTTGCAACAAAATACTACAAATTACGTCATAGGGTATTGTCACATATTGAAAAGTTTGTGGTACTGTATTCTAAAGGTGGGCCAGGGTTTAAAGCAGAGCGGTCAGGTAGCCTAGCTGTTAAAGCATTCGCTCGAAGACCTTGGTTCAATTCCCGACATGGGTACAATGTGTGAAGCCCATTTTGGGTGACCCCAGCCGTGATATTGCTGGAATATTGCTAAAAGCAGCGTAAAACCGTACACACTCACTCCAACATGAAGCTGACATGCTCACTCACGTCAATATTTGATCTTTGTTGTTTTAATGCTGTTCTAATTTTCAGACCATCTCCGAGAGCAAGTTGAAAGCTTTCGAGGTGGGGACTATGAACCTTGGAAAACAATCCCTGTCAAAAAAGGAAATAGATGAAATGAGGAAAAAGGTAATGACAATATTAAAATTTTCGTAGAATGGTGTTTCCTTTGTACGTTGTTTTCTATTTTATAGTTTCAGATTATGAAAATGCTACTTTGTTGGGTCTGAGTGAGAAAGTTATTGTAATGTTATTTGGTATGTCTTGATCATGATCATATAGACATGGTAGATACAGCACCTTGTACCCTTTATTCAAGGGCAGAATATGAGTTACACATGTCACAAGCATGAACAGCGAAGTATTTGGGATTTTGCAAGCCGAATGGCCATGTTTATCACACAAGATTAAAGGTCAAGGCATGTACACCAACGTTCATTTCGTGAAAAGACAGTACACCCTGCTATTGACAGTGACTAGCCAATCAGAGAGCTAGATTCTTTAGTAAGTTCTACACAAGGTGATATTAGTGTTTTCTAGTACACTATACCAGGTACTTATGGAAAGTGTAAGATGAAGAAAACTGCAGAAACAACTGATGTTTACTAGGGCTGTTATGCGGCACTCGTGTATTTGGTGAATCGAACCGTATCCTTTCAAGTAGTGAATTTGTTATTCGTGGCCACTAAAATCGAATATTTATGAATATGCAATCATGTGCATTTACATACCCTGTACCTAAAAATATCCATAACAACATATTATATGCATAGATTTCTTCAAAGACAACACTCTTATATATCATGATATATAGTATAGTAATATTTAGTATTGTGGTCACCGGTCAATGTCGCATTTGAGCAGATACTAGTACCTGGATAAGTGATGTATATAAATGTTTAATACTTTGATGATTAACAAACAATGTCAAATTATATATGCTGTTATTTTTTCACAGAATATAACAAATAATACATCAACTGCTGACTTGTTATTGTATTCGTGAATTAATCTTCGTATTCGTTACCCTATATTCATGATACAAATCGTATTTGCCTCATAGTGTATTCATTGCAGCCCTAATGTTTACATACTAAATCTAACTGCTTGCAGCAAGATGCAGAAGCCACAGCACAGGTATATGAGGAGTTTGTTGCTTCCTTTGATGAAGCACATAAACATGCAGGCACGAAGATGTGGGTCAAGGGAGAAACTGTCAATGCTGACAGACCTTTTAGTGGCAACCCAAGAACTCAAAGAAACAACTCTGGTAAATATATTCTCCAGTCATTTAGGCTAATTACATGTCATTCTGTGTTTTGAGAAATCATCAACACTTTTCGTAAAAAAGCACGGAAGCCCTAGGGTACTTGTTATAGCCCTAATGTCAAAAGGTCAAGATTCAAGGAGCCCTGTAACGATTCACTGATTCCTATGCTATCATCGATACTTGGGAACACACCGTTGGTTAGATCGCGATACGCTGTGAATAGAACATCAATTGATGGAGTATCACGGAAGTAGCATAGCGCCACCTGTAAGCATGATGGAACACAAGGACATGATGGTAATAGTGAATGCACCTGCTGTATTTAGGTCTTCATTTCGAGCCAAATTTGGGTTTGAAAAGTCCTCAAAACAGAAAAAAAGGTTGTATGCAGATTGTTGTTATCAGTAATTATATTTTTTTTACAATAATAAATATATGTCTCAAGCAAAATGTTTTATAGTTGTATTTCTGTCATTTTATTATCTCTTACTATTTGTTGTGGTGTTTCATGATACCAGTGGTATCATTTATCCATACCATGATACGTATCATATCACAAGATCTCGGGCGATAGTCAGCTTTATTATTTGCTAAATCCAGGCTTGATCATTAACCAATGTTTAAAGGCATCCATTATCATGATTATGTTGCTTGAATATATTTGCTGACTGCGGCATACCTTCATTTGCATTCATGCTGATGTCTTTCACCCCTGTATTCAGAGTACATTGAAGAATAACATAAACTGGTTGGCATTGTGAGTGTTTCTTGAACTTTGGTTATATTGTGTATTTCCAGGAGACTCCAGACCTGACAAAAACCGTCTGTATAAGCCCACATCCAAGCTAGCCGAGCTAGCTGCAACATTCCAGTCTGTGAAGTTGACAAGGAAAGAAGATGATAAACCGGTAATTTGTAGTCTGTTAGCTGAATCTGTGCATGCTTAAGCACCAAAATGCTTAAAACTCACTCTTAACTCACACTGCATGTCTTCCTATAAGGAATAATGTATATAACAAACTGATTTCTCCGGTCACTTGAAGTTCGTTATATCCATGTTCTACTGTAGTTCTATTTATGACACTAGACAGTGTTATAGATTATTTCATTTGCACCAGCCTCCTTGTGTACATCTCACTGTCTCTACAGGCTGGTGTATCTGCATCCCACTGTCCAACCGTGGGATAAATGCAGAGTGTGAGATAGGATAAGTTTAAAATTTATAAATGTCACATTAAATTGTATATTTATAGACTCACATACTATATGCCCTACCGACCATCCCTGCATAACAGCTCCTCTAGCCTGTCAGATCAAAGAAAGCGAATGATGTGGAATGGGTAGTCATGTGATCATGTCGTGTAGGTTACTATGCACGGGGTAGTGATCACAATACAGTGTATATACAAGATATAAAGTACACTGGATGATCAAGGACTCTGGTGGCGGTACATTAGCACTCCCTGTAACATGTCCCTACATTCAAGTCAACTGAGGGGGCACCGGTAGCCCAGTCGACTAAGGCGCCGCGATTCGCTCTGCAGAGTTGCGTCCCTTGGGCACGCCAGAAACCTATGATTGTGGGTTCGAATCACGGTTCGCCCCGATTATGTTTCTAGGTAAACGTCTGAGACCTGCATCACTTCGGGCTTTCCTCCCACATTAAGCTGACACGCCGCAATATAACTGGAATACTGTTAAAAGCGGCGTTAAACCCGACTCACTCACTCACTCAAGTCAACTGAGGCCTGGCCAGGGTGTGCCAGGTATTGTACTACCATACTTGAACAGAAGCATGTTACGTCCTTGATAAAAAATTTCGTTCCGCACATTGGTCCAATTTGCAAAGCCCATTTGAAGTCGGACAATAAATATAGCTGGCGTTTGGTCACTCATGTTTTCTGTATAGTTTCATCTTCTGATCTTTGCGTTTGTTTCAGAGAATTCTAACAAAAAGAAAAGAGGAGATGAGAAGAAGAAAAGCAATCTGGAACTCTTCAAGGAGGAATTGAAACAGTGAGTTGTAGGAAGGACGTTGCATTGATCATCATCAGATTCTAAATGGCTGTTTATTAAACATGTTAAATCCATGCTGTTGTCTTATCTACTTGACCACATTTGTGACCACCTTAGTGCAAGAATCTTGGACGCGACGTTAAACCCTATTTACCTCACCTTGGCTCACCCCAACTCTTGTCTACTCCAGAAGATTGTTTTGAGGTTTTTTTTACTTAAAGAACAATTACACTTGAAAGTTGATGATGGTTTCTAAAACTGAGGGTCTGCAATAAAGATTTTTCTTGTCTACAGTTCACAATGAATCCCCAACATAAAACAATAAGATCGTAACCACAAAAATAAGAAACGTCATTATAAATCTTAGAGCATGCTGCCGAAAACATGGAAACAGCCTCGATAAAAAACACATGTTTTAGGCTGATGAAAATGTCAACTTGTGCAAATATGTTAAGTTGTTTGATGTTTGAAGCCAGGTCTCACTACCTCACAGCCAGCCTCGTGCTGCCAGCAATCAATGGTAAACTGTGGGAGTTACAATAGCTAAAGAGAAATTGACGCTGTGTTGAACAGGGACCACTATTGTTTAACTGGTTGAAACTACTGAATATAAAAATTCACCTTGACTTCACAACTTGCAGGATTCAAGAAGAAAGACAAGAGCGACACAAACTAAAGAAAGTGTTGAGAGATTCAGGTGTTGATCTGCCAGAAATCGACACCAAACTTTACCCCTTTCTTGATCCCATGGACATAGGACCTGCTTCACTACGTGGGCCAGGTAGGTAGACTTCATCTCGCTGTGTAGAACTTGGCCTTAAATCCATTCATCAAAACCCCTCTGGGGATTTTGGGTTAGAATAGGTCTCTAACCAATGCTGGTCGTAAGAGGCAACCAAATGAATTGGGTGGTCAGACTCGGTAACTAGGCGTGTCCTCCAATCTCGTTAAAATCATATCTTAGTTCTTGCTACCACTAATCAAAGATCTGAAGACATCCCATTATGGGTCACATCAGAACGACCTTTCATTTGACCAATCAGAGCATCACTTACTGGATCGGGAAGCTGACAGTTGGAATGTGTTTTCTAATCATGCTAACTTCTAAAAGGTTAAAAATTAAGGTATTACAAACAAAAGATACAAGCTGTACATCTATCTCTTGCTTCAATGGGATAACCATTTGAAATAGAAGAGACTTGCCATAGCCCATGGAATGTACTGCTATACAATATTGGCAGACTAGTAGACATTCCAGGATTTTCTTTTGTCAAGTTTTCAAAGTTTAAATCAATATTTTCCTAAAGCCTAGCCTGGAATGGAAGCCACCAGTTTGAAACAAGCGCCATAAAGCTAGTTAGTCATTTCATTTGTCTAACAAAGTTCACAAAAGGTTGTTCTGACGTGACCCGTAATGGTATGTCCTCAGATTTTTGTTTAGTGTCATCGAGAACAAAGCTCTGTTTTAATAAGAATAGCATGTCCTTTACCGACATCATGGATCATTGGGCTTGTGGTAAATTACTGCAATGAACGATGTCACTGATTTTGCATTGTTGTCTACAGCTATTTGTGTTAATGATTTTAATAAGCAGTCTGTGAAGTTATTATTGTTGACATACTTATTTATGAGAATTGACTTCAAAATGTGTTTGCATTTATGGGGTTATAAACGTAAAAAACGATGTATGAACTTTGTATAAATCTGCTACACATATTTACACAGTGTGCTTGCGCCTTTTTATGTCAATACCATCATAAAAGCAGAAATTATTGAAGTCTATTCTTAAATATCAACCTTGATTCAAGCTTTCGACCAGTAGTTGAGACAAAACGTTTGGTCATATATTTCGAGTATTTCTTGTTGGTATATATATAAAGGTACGCTACTGTGATTGTTGATTCAGGAGACCGAGCAGGGGGAATTGGATCATTTGACCCGGGAGATGAGAACACAACCAACATCTATGTGGGCAACATATGTCCAAAGGTAAGATAACATGGATGCATGTTCAAAATGAGTTTTATTATCAGAATCGATGATCATGTAAATTTTTTGTTATTGAAAGATACATACTAGGTATAGATACTACATTCAGTTTCTTCAGTCAAACATTTGTTGAGCACCTCCCTTGGGTGTGCCAGAAACCAAGGTTTGTCGGCCACATACCCTCAGTGCTTTCCCACAATGGTAAACAGATGCATCACTTCAGCTTTACTACTATAGTCTGGAAGGTAATTTAAGGTACCGACGTTCGTCCTGTTCGTCATGGGTGGAACGAGCATTCATTGGAACAGCCATCTGCATAATGCTACCCCTGCGTCACAGGGCCATATGACACAGTTGAACAAATCAACTCAACTCAAAAGGGTGCATTGAAATCACGCACGTTGAGACGCCCAACACTAACACCGTATTCGTTCGTGCGTGATTCCCGTGCACCCTTTCGAGTTGAGTTGATTGGTTCAACTGTGTCATATGGCCCTGTGACGCAGGGGTAGCATTATGCAGATGGCTGTTACAATGAATGCTCGTTCCACCCGTGACGAACAGGTCTGGTTGTTGATGAAATATAGTGATAGCTAAATAGACAGATTTTTTATTCATGCACCGATTGGCTTTAAATGTAATATCCAGTTATGTATGACTGTTTAATAATCTCCTACCAACTTTGACTAGAGTAGGTCCGATAGTTTTTCAGATATTGTAGTAAATGTCGGTACCTTAAATTACCTTCCAGACTATACCCGGTACACCAAGCTGACACATGGTGTAACTGCAATACAAATCTGATCTGATCCAGGTTGTCTGCAAGGCCAGCCTTGTGTTGCTATGTAATGAATCCCTTTGAATATATCCATTGATCCCCATAACTATTTCATACAGCTAATTGATTTACAGTTAAAGTCTTAAATATTTGAAGGATGGAGAATTGTATTACATTTGCTAATGAAAAGCCTTGGTGGTGAAAATTTGACCTCAGATGACAGAGCAACAGCGTTGTGAAACATTTGGGAAGTATGGTCCTCTAGCAAGCATCAAAATCATGTGGCCTCGCACAGAAGAGGAGCGTTCCCGGGGACGAAACTGTGGATTTGTTGCCTTCATGAACAGGAAGGATGGAGAGCGAGCGATGAACTCGCTACGAGGTGGGTAGGAGATTACCAAGGATTACATTGGCTCATTATTTCTCTGTTTGCGTTATTTGTTTGTTGTGATCCTGTTGCAGAAACTTGTTGGGAGGCTAGGAGCGTTTGCTTCACTGACTTTGGTTGAAATGTGAATTTCAACAAATTTCTTTCAGTGTTGTAATTATTTGTTAGATGTCGATTTTGATCCCTATTGAGGCATTCGTTATCTTGGCCACTGCTTGTTTTCATCCAGGCTGCTGTGGATTTTTACACAATTGCTTTATGAGGTGTTACAGTTTGCCACTTATAGACCTTAAAAGAGCTAAGATGGGGAGATGAGTCAATCAAACAAAGTCAGTTTGGATAAATCTTTTTCTACTTATGAATTTGTTTTGATCGAAAAATGTATCCAACAGAATATGATAACCACTTAACAGTACATAGTCTTTGACCACCATGTTGAAACTTCTTTGTAATTAGGCCTCTAAGTATACAAAATGTCCAGATGGAATTCTGATCGCAAAATCTTTCTATATTGAATTGGATTCACATGCATGACAGTTAGGAAATGAAAACTGGAAGTCACAACTATCAAATAATCATGGTATACATTGTATAGGTCATTGTCAAACATACCCAATTAAACTATAGGATCGAGAAGAATGTATGTTTACGGCCGACATACACCTCAGTAAACTGTGTGCTCCAGTCTTTCTCTTCATGTGTACATAACTTCTGTGTGTCTTGAAAATATCAGCATATGGGATTAAGAGTAAGAGGCGCTTGACCTTTTTCCAGGTGTGTCATTATCAAAACTGATCATTCTGTGATAGGCAATCATGTATGATGATGATAATGAGGCATCACACCCTTTTTTTAAATCTAGTGGCCACCAACATTGCTCATGTTTCTCTTTGTTTCTACAGACAATATGTTCTTTATTAGCTATCACTGATAGTAGATTGGTAACATCACAAATAGTTTCATCTCTTCCCGGCACTGTGTAGGTTTTTGAAATAATTTCCATTTTGTTCATTTCTCAAACTCCCAACTATTTTCATAAAGCACTCAGTACAAGTTTGTTTTGTGTCAGGATTCCTAATCTCATTTCCCTCACTATTAAGTCGTATTTCCTTCTTTTTTTCTTTTTTTTGTTGAAAAAACAACCAAGCAAACACTTGAAACAGGAAGTATCAGATTTTAACCGTGTCATTTTGGTCATGTTCACAGATTTGACATTGCTTATGCTTTGTATTATATCTTCCGTTTTTTATAAACACCCGAACTCAGTCACTACCATAGCTTCATTTCGAATCTGATTCAAATAACAGTATCCTTTAATTAATCAATTTCTGTGCTAAATTAGGAGTGATAGAGGTATTGAAGTCACTCCCGAAATTTGACGATGATTGCGAATGGGTCCAGGGTATTTATGAAATTGAAAAGGAGATACCATACAGTGGATAATCTAGAATACTGGATTGATTACCGTGTCAATTTTCTGTTGTTGTGCCCCCATTCCGAGTTAGAAGATGTCCCCAGCAACCTTTGTTAGCCATAACAGGTGACCAATTGATTGGGTGGTCAGGCCATGACTTGGTTGATAGCATGTCCACGTACCCCGATGGTGTGGATCGTTGCGTACAATATCGATCACTGGATTATTTAGTCCAGGCTTGACTATTTACAGCTGTCATGCAGCCGGAATATTGCTGAATGTGGTGTTACACAACAAACAAAATCTGCCTTCAGTTACAAAAGATTATTCCAGATGAAAACTTTCTTTGTTTATCAGTTGTGATTAACAGTTCAGTTTTGAGAATATTTTTATAGCATTTCAGCATGCTTATTTCAGTATGATCAATTTGATACCGTTGATAAACTGAATTTGATCATTCTGATATGAACACAACCCGAATATTTCAAATAGGACCAACTGGCCATCATTGTTGCTGAAGTTGATAAATTTCATGTTTATGTGGGTTGAAAAATATGTGTGATAACTGTTTACATCGTATACATTCTACTTTACAGATGTAACCATTACCCTAACTTATTTTTAATTCTTGTTGTCAATGCGATTTCTTCACTCTTTGCCTTTGGAATATTTAAACACAGGAAGAGAAGTGATGGGCTTCGAAATGAAGCTAGGGTGGGGTAAGGCGGTGCCCATTCCGCCCCACCCCATTTATATCCCCCCAGCTCTGGTTGAGATGACCCAGCCACCCCCACCCTCAGGACTTCCCTTTAACGCACAACCACTGAAGAAGGCAAGACTTGAGAAGTTGTATGGAAATATTCCTCCACCAAAAGATGGCGAAGATGAACAGTCTAAGGAGGAGAAAGAAAAGGTAATGACATTTGTCAGTGATATTTATGTAGATTTCTTGAAATTGATTAACATGATCAAGTGGTCATTCTAGTCGCAGACGTTACTTGCTTTGCGAACATCTGGTGTCATCACTGATTTTCAGTAATCCATTCACATAATTTCCACCGCTACCTCCCTTACACTGTGTGGGACAACTGAACTCACCATTACTGAATTCTCGCTTTTCCGCTGGTCCAATTAAATCGTTTCGACAGATACTCGAGGATGGTTATTTTTTGGCGTTGACGTTACAGTTCATACAGGATACAGAAGATGTAAAATACATAAACAATGTATGAAAACGTATTTAATATAATATAAAATGTGTTTTCACCTAAGTTAAATCTACAACCTAATTTGGGTTTGTTTACAATTGTCCGCAGGTTCTAAATAGAAAACTCAAAAAGATTAATTTTAAAGATATGTACCTCACTGACTAATCGTTGTATACCTAAGTATTATTGTTCCTGACCAAGTTAGAATGTAAGAGAAAGAACAATGCCTAACCGACATATATGAAGATGTTATATCTCACACTATAATCAGATATAGGATTTATATATCCCCACCGAAGCAAACCCTCCCCTGGAATGAAATTATAATTTAAACAAAATTTCTCAAGCTATCCCTGTTGATACCTTGGAACACATTTTTATAAAATATATGAAACAAACGGGGTCTTGTTTGATGCTTGTTTACATTCCATAAACGGCTCAGTTGACAACAACATGTCTACCATTTAGTGTTATGTGTAACCATTTAAAAAGCCATTCAGTTTAATATTCATTTTGCTATATACTATCAGGTGATAATTTTTTTTCAGTAACTGAAAGATCCATCGATTTCAAAACTGTTTTTATTCATATGTAACTATAACTAATTTACATATAATAGTCTTAGTTATTGTGCTTACATTTCACTCATCTTGTCATGTTATAAATAATTGTTAAGATAATAATACAAGCTAATTTAAGGACAACGAAGAACCGTGGCCTGGTATTTCTTATGTCATTCATATTTTATTTACTATATTCATGTTAAATTTTCACAATTGGTATGTCAACTAGATTAAGTTTAGACAACTAGACCAATATCTGATACACTACATGCTTTTGATGACTCGCCATGAACTCTCAGTTTAAGATCGTTTTAAAAGTCAGTCAATGAAAACATTATCCCTAATGTTGAATACAGCCTATCGAGAATAGCCTATTTTAAACATCTACAGTTTTAAGACAACAGGGATAAATAAACTCAAATGTTCCAAAGTCACCGCTGAAGGTGAGTTAGTCATTGAGTGAGTGAGTTTGGCTTAACGCTGCTTTTAGCAATATTCCAGCAATATCACGGCGGGGCACACCGGAAATGGGCTTCCCACATTCTAAAGATATCGGGAATCGAACCCGGGTTTTCGGCGTGACGAGCGAACGCTTTAACCACTAAGCTACCCGACCGCCCCCACTGCTAAGGGATAACATGTACACATAGCTACTTGCAGAGTACATTTCAATTTTGACGTTTCAGTGACAAATATGATGTCCGATGCAATTCCATATTTTGACGTACCATATGAGAACAACTGACTTGCCTTTACATGTGTTTGTGACAGGTGGGACAGTAAACGCTCACCTTTTCACGAACACCTAGAAACGTCACTAGTCAATAGTGATTCATAAACACATTCGCATGATACAGTCGAAATGTACAATGGGCTCTGTTTTTTAGCAGAGATTTTTTAATGATTATGAAAATGTTTTTTGTCGCTTTTATTTCTCATCAAAACATGTGAACATATATAAAATCGTTAGATATTAACTCCTGAGTTCAATCTGAAAAAGATTAACGTATCATATATAAATCTATTTTAATAATTTTAGAAATTGAAGCTACATTTAAAGATATATCAAATTATGACCAACAGTTTTTATTACAATATTTTTTATCTTGAGACAGTTCAAGAATTTTAGTCTTTCACAAGCCATGCTGTAAAATGCATGCTTAAAGGGAAAGTGTACACGCAAAAATCACTTTCTTTCTTTTTCTAAACAAAACGCAAATATAGAATTAGTTAGTATCTGTGTTTGAAAATATACACTCATTTTTTTCACAGTGAAAGTAGGAAGCTCACAATAGTGTGAAAATGATATGCCGTTATGAGGCCTTCGTTTTTCGAGCTAAACAGGCCTGAGTTACCCCCCTTAGATTATGACGTAATTGGTGCCAATTCAACTGGGTCCCTGTCTATTCTGAACGCAAAAGATATCAAGTACAAGTTTTCGGTAAAACAACATGGCCTACGACACACTCCGGCGCAGTGGTGACTCAGCATAACACTATGCTGGCTGGCATCTGAGACGCTAGAATCACACACCTGTACCTACACCACGTGAAGCGGCTCTAACAAAGCATGATGACGTCATAATGTTTATCAATTGGCACCAATGACGTCATATTGTAAGGGGCATAAGCCATGGTGTTTTTGTTATCGAAATAGAACACTTGGTAAATGTGAAAAATATTAATCGTTTTAATGCGAAACATATGTTTATTAATTGTGATATTTTTATATTTTTGTCTATTACACTTCTAGGTTAATACTTTTATTGTGGAAAAAGTACACGAAAATTAGGTTCATTTCCGTGTGAACTTGCCCTTTAAGTAAAACTTTATGAACACTTTATGAAGACAAATTTCAATATTCCCTAAGAGAAACATACGTTTTTTTAAGTTCCGCTGCATATATTCCCACGAATGAACTCAACTTGAATGTCGTATTCAGTAAATATAAAACGACAACGCCAGAGGTTAAACAGACCCGATTATGCAATGAAGCAGATACCATTGGGTGTTAACGGAAAAGTCAGTCTTCAGTAACGACAGGCGAGTTCAGTTGTCTGAGACGGTGTAAGGGAGGTAACTCAAGCATACTGATTATACTATGAATACATTGTTTACTGCACATATATAGAAATAATTATGTCAAAACAAAAATAGCAAGATTCGTGTCTATAGAATGAAAGAATGCGGAAGTTTAGAGGGATATTAATCAGGCGTAATATGACAACAGAATGTATCATTGTTAAGCTTGTTGCATGTCATACCAACTGAGTACTGGTATGTTGTGCCTTGAAATAAATAAACAGTAACGCCAACTGAAGCCCAGTACTATGAGACACACACCGACATAGTTTCTATCTACAGGTTTGCGTACTTACCAATATTCAGCAAACAACGAACACAGACCTTGAAGCTGTTGATCACAACCAACAATGTCGACATCCGTGTTGGGGTCACGTGGTCTACTTTCGTTTCAGATGAAACGTGTATGGTGTATTTCTCAGAATTTCAACATATCGCTGCAATGTGAATTTCGACTTTGACTAACAAAAAGATGGTTATGTTTACTTACTGCAGTAACCCAATCGTCCCCTTTTCGATATTTAAGGGATTGCCTAAAAGTCGGGCCAAGAAAAGTCGGGCCGGGCCGGGCCAGCGGGTAATACTAAATATGGATTGCAGAATAATAAAACGAAACGCGCATATCTAGGCAGATCTCAAATGTCCACAAACGTATAGTTTTGCTCATTTGATTGAGTTTGAATAAAAATGCACCTTCAACAATGTAATTAACTGATGATTATGACTACATACCGTGAATCTCATAGAAAAGTCAGTGTCTTGACTGTGTGTATTCTTTGATTGGAATGCTTCTCACCGACCTTAGCGTGTAGGGGTGTGATGTCCTGGGTAGGAAACGACAGTGTTTTGACTACTCTTCTTTCATTAATTAACGTGTTAAGGTAATTTACCTTTTCTAATTCGTGTTAAACCAACACAGGATGTTTTCTGGAAGTGGATATTCGCGAATGTCAAAAGACTGACGCGACACGTGTTAATAACTGTCCAAGCACTTCTAAAGTTCCTAACATTATTTATATCTAAAGACTAGTATTATATCTAATTATTTACCACTTTATTGTCTCATATTTCAGTAGTTAAAGAAAACACAGAGCTCAAAATGAAGCCTTTTTCACTCTAGATTCTCAACATAGTCTTCATCAGAAGTGTTTCGCTTGTGTTGGGTCCGACTTGGCCCGGGCGGTCAAAATCCATTTTAAACACGCAAATGTATCATCAAATGTGTTTACATCTATAGATTACTATTAAATCTACCCATATACCACTTTATAATGTCACAGTATATCGCATTCAAAGAAAACTGGGCCGTTAAAGTCAAGCCCTTTTACTGTATTTCCTTAAGAAAATCCCTGTTAGAAGTGTTCGGTCCGACTTGGCCCGGGCGGTCAAAATCAACTTTAAACACACAGATGTATCTTCAAATGTGTTTACATCTATAGATTACTATTAAATCTACCTATATACTACTTTATAATGTCCCAGATCGCAGTATTTATAGAAAACAAGGGGCTCAAAATGAAGCCCTTTTCCCTCTACATTCTCAACATAGTCTCTATAAAAAGTGTTTGGCTTGTGTTGGGTTCGACTTGGCCCGGACGGTCAAAATCTACTTTAAACGCACAGATGTATCTTCAAATGTGATTACATCTATAGACTAGTGTTATATCTAACTATATACCACTTTATAATGTCACAGTATATCGCATTCAAAGAAAACTGGGCCGTTAAAGTCAAGCTCTTTTACTGTATTTCCTTAAGAAAATCCCTGTTAGAAGTGTTCGGTCCGACTTGGCCCGGGCGGTCAAAATCAACTTTAAACACACAGATGTATCTCCAAATTTGATTAAATCTATAGATTACTATTAAATCTACCTATATACCACTTTATAATGTCCCAGATCGCAGTATTTATAGAAAACAAGGGGCTCAAAATGAAGCCCTTTTCCCTCTACATTCTCAACATAGTCTCTATAAAAAGTGTTTGGCTTGTGTTGGGTTTGACTTGGCCCGGATGGTCAAATTCTACTTTAAACGCACAGATGTATCTTCAAATGTGATTAC